AAAACCGAAGTCGCGATAAGTGGAATCTAACAAAACATAACGTTAGTCCGAGTCTGTAGGTGTGTGTGTGTATATATATAAGTTTTATTATTGAGTCATTCTCGGAGTGTAAAACTTTTAAGTGAACAACCGGCGAGGATCACTCAGGGAAACCCACCTGGGGGACTCGCGCTATCGAGAGCGATCTTGACGAAGTACAATTTTGACGGAAAATACGAAACTTCAAAATATTTGTTACTCCCTCGCGCGAGAATATTATATACGATGGAATATCGATCTCTTGTAACTTCTGTAATATTTTACTCTCGTAAACACGTATTTCCACAATAATACGGATAAGCGGTTATACGATTAAAAATTTGTGTGTGTGTGTAATTTTTTTTATATGTGGTCAACACCTCTCGAAGATTCGTGTTGTTTCGACATAGCAATCAATGTCGCGTTTCTTCGATCGATAGCAGCTCGTATTGAGTTCGCACAGACTTTCACGAGGTTTTACAGTCGCTACATAGACAACGAGTGACTATCTGTATATTGAACCGGCGGTGGCAGCAGCAGTTGTGTGCCACGTCGATCGAGAGGTATATAAAAAAAAAACCTTATGGAAATCAGATATAAAGACTCGGGCTATGTGCGCGTTTACTTGCACGCAACAGTTGACTACTCTCTCGGGCAACCTTTGAGCAATCGACATGCCGGTACGCGCAAGAACGCGTCTGGAAACACGCTTCGCGAACAAGCAAGTAAAATTGAAAAAAAAAAAAAAAAAAAAAACGCGACATATTTGGTTGGTTCGCCATTTGTCCGCGTTTTATCGCAATTTCGCGCTTCGGAATAAACGACCCTTTCCACGAGTTCGACAACAACGCGCAACGATGTTTGCGAGAGGCGAAGAAATTCGCGAACCGTGCCCGATATTGCTGCGAGCGTCGCGTACAAACGAGGCTGCAAAACGTACAAGTTTCAAAACAAATTTTTTTTCCCTCGAAACGAGCTCGCATAGATTAACGAGGGAAATCGCAAATGATAGAGTAACAGCGTTTATTTTTTTGTTTGTTTTTTTTTTTACCAAAATTGTTGCAGAAAAACAAAATCTCCGAAGAAAATTGAAAAAAACAAGGTATAAAAACCGATTATTTGTAATGTTTTTCGTTCGATAAGATACGATAGCAATTAACACGCACGAGCGAGTAAAATCTGTAGTGAGACAAAAAACAGATAAAACGTGGATTTCAAAAGTTCTTTTCGAAAGTGCGATATATTTTTAAAAATGTTCCCGACGTAGTCGAGAGCGCGAATTTTTCTATATATATAAAATACAACACCTCAAATTAATTCTATTTAAATTAAAAAAAAAAAAATAAATAAATAAACAAAAAGGTTTTCAATAAATGAATGAATGAATAAATGAAAGAGGCCTCTCGCGCCTTCGAAAAAGGTTTTCGCCTATTTTCGTACAATGGAACCCACGAATGACGTCGTGTGGAGAGAAACGTGGAGGAAAAAAGCTCCGAAACTCTATTAATTATATCGAAAATGCTAAAAATGCAGCGCGTTACCTTTGCAAACGTCGCTTTCTCGTTGAACATGCAATTAACATCCGTACGGGAGGAGAATGGTAGCGGCCAATTCGTTTCAAAGCAACGTGACTGTTGTTGCGAGCTTTACATCCTCTACGAAGTTTTTTCCGTCACTTAGAGAGCGGTTAATTACCGCGACTTTTAATTACGGGGCAGCGAAATAGAAATTGTCAGATAAGAAAATTCCTGCAATTGTGTTCGCCGCGCGCTCTCTCTCTCTCTCTCTCTTTCTCTCTCTCCTTCTCGGAATATTCAAATACCGGTGTCACGGCGCTGCGTAATCAGCGTTATTTACTTGTCACGCACTTGTCATTCCTCCCGAGAGTGTAAAGAATCAAACGCAAAACGCGACCCTCGAATGTATAAGTTCACCCTGTGTGTATATGTGTTATTATATACATATATATGTCTACGCGACATATCGTTCCGGGGAGCGTGTTCGCGACGCCATTTTCGGAACACTGTTTTTTTCGATATGACAGGATACGGTTTTGGGATCATTGAGCAGAGAAAACCGGGGCCGTTTCGCGCGATACGCTACAGAACAATCGGTGATAAACGAAAAACGCGGAATCGCGTTCGCGTGTGCGCGCGCGCGCGCGCTATCTCGAAACCACCTTTTCGAAACAAATGAAAAACGCACGACACGGAACACACACACAATACATACACGCACGTATGTGTAAAACGCGCATACATGTACACACATACACACGGATACATGCTTATGTATACGGCATACAAAATGAACGCACGTCGACACACTTTAGATAGCGATCGAACGACTCGAAACTAGCGACTGGCGTTTTTGATGACTTATCGCTTCTCAGATCGGGTTACCTCGTTTTCCCCGCAGGGATATAAGACGAAAAAAGAACTAGCCTCCAGGACAAATTGGTGTCTGAGAAAATGGCCCGTAACTTTAATCAAATTCGTTACCGCCGACGTGACGTAAGACACTTTTCTTGAAAATAAATGAGGGAAGTTAATTACTTTTCTTTTTTCCGAGAAAAGCTATATTAAATTCAAAAGTATTCAAACCGTATTTCTACCGCAAAAACGAAATAAAGGGTTGAGATATTTTTACGCGTAGGAATGTGTGTGTGTGTGTGTATGTGTTTGTATATTTTTTTCTCTCTCTCTCCCCGAGATTTGCACTGCGCACGGCGATAAATTTTATAGATTGTTCGTGAACACGTGGCTTACGGGTAATTTGATCAGATGGTCCTAAACTAACTTCTTAACATCGTAAAGCTATCCCTGCTGAAGCACGGTAATCCGACCTGATGGTACGCCGTCGAATGCGTGGTCGACAGAGCCTCACTTACGTAAGACGCCGACGCTAGACATAAGCCAGCCAATCAATCGCGAAATCCAGCTTTAGTGATTGAGCAGTAGCATATATTCACTCACGATTGGTTTACAGGCTTATCGCGCAGTCTTATGTAATTAAATCCTAATGGCGTCGCGGCAAAAACAAGACAACACAATCGGAGGCGGGCCTGTGTACATTCCGAATTATCAATCGCGTAATAACGTATTACAAATTTGAAGTTGAAACATTTCAAATTTTATTATATTTGTTTTTGCGTGTCAATATTAACATAATATTATATATATATACATATATAAAACTTCATTATATATATATATATATATTCGAAATATATTAATTTCTATTCGACGAGTTTGATGTGATACATTGATAAATACTTTCGTGTCGCTGATAAATATTGATTAAATAAATTAACGTTAATTGATCAGCAATAATGATAATAATAGTAATAATAATACGGTTATTAAATTCGAGATTAAATTACGAAACAATTCTCGTGCGTAACGAGAAAAAATTAAATTTATATCAAAAGCGTGTAGAGCGAGAACTTCTGATTTCGAGGGGGAAAAAAAAAACGGTCGGAACGAAAAAAGAAAAGTAGTGTTATCCGTCGAGAAGCCAATCGGGATCAAATCAGAGAACGTGCCGTCGGTGTGAGTATGGATCCGCCCGCCATATCTCCTCGCTCGATCGTTCTCTCGCAGAGCTTCGTCTCGGACACGAGAGCCACTCGGACCGGCCACTCCAAGCAACAATATAGGCTCGGGTTCGTAATCGTGAGAGTTTGTCGACCGAGGCATCGAGGGATATCACGTCGCTGATTGAGCGAGACTACCACATCCATTCTCGCGTTCCTCTCCCGATAGAGAGAAACGCGCGCGCCATTTTGCCAGCGCGAGTTTTTCCCGTTACGTATTCGCCGAGTAAATAATTCGTCGTGTGATCGCCTCTTTTATTTTCCTCTTTCTCTTTCTCTCTTTTTCCTTTTTTTTTTTTTTACCGAATTGACTAGAAAAAATCCGCGAAATACCGCGTGGCTGATAAGCGCGTCGTTTCTCGCATTCTAACAATTAAACTCTACGCGTAATCCCCCGTCATCGGAACATGCATTGCAGTCTTCGGTGCTTCTCCGTCGTCTTCATCATCTTAAAACGAAATTTTCAAACTAACAAAAAAATGCATTTTCGTACAACACGGGCGAGACGACCTCAACGTGTCACCCGTTCTGACTTTTGGCTCTTACGCCTCTTATACAAATTGTAATATTTACCCGTCGATATTGTGCCGCCGCACGACCGCCGAGACAATGACGTGGCCGGCGTAGCCCGCGTATCGTCACCACTTCCTCGCCTCCTGACTCGGTGCACGGACGCGCGTGTATGCACATCCTGTTTGCATTCCGTGCCGTCCAGCGACGACCGGCCAAATCCTCTCTAATTGTTGCCTTGTACAGGTAGTGTTTCGTAGGGAAAGGTCACAACGGACATGAACGTGTTACCGTGTCAGTCATATATTCGTTGAACGGGGAGAACAAATTGTAATTGTTTAATTTAGAGATCTGCAATTTTTCGAGATATTTTCACACGATCTTTGTCAATTAGAATTTTCATCTCTCTATACATGTGTATCTTTCTATTATAAAATAGACTTTGTCCACATAAATGGCTAACTATTCGAAATCGAAACCATATACAATATTTTTATGTCAAACGAGAGAGAATAGATTTTTTTGGAAAAAAAAAAACAAAAAAAATAACGTAAACCCATTTCTCTCAGAATACTCTTGTACAAGCTAACAATATCAAAACAAAAAAACCATCGAGTACAAACCAGAGGCAAACCACTCCCTCGTGACACTAGGTCCGGATAAGAAACGGAGCCGAGTGTGTCCGCCAGCTGCACCACACGTACCGCACACAGGATATCTCTTAACGATGTCGTTAATTGCCGTGCATGATGGGTCGACCGCCTCGAAGAGTCTCTCGCACCACCACTAAACAACGCTTGTTAATAGGTGTTTGTCCACGGCGAGCGTGAACGGGGGAGGGGAGGGTGGGTCTCTTTTCGAGAGAGAGAGGCTTGGGTCGGTTGTTGTTTTCGCCGTGTCGCCTACGCGCGCGGCTCGAAGGTCGTGTTAATCGCACGCGATGACCCTAAACACATACACACGCGCGCGCGCGCGCACACACACATACACGCACGCACGCACACACACACACACACAAAGAAAGTCAGGCCGTGTGTATGCGCGATCACGACTTTCATTCGAAAACGAATCGTAACGTGATACATCGACACGACGATAAATCAGCCTCTTATCAGAAAACAGAAGTCAACTTGACGCACTTGTATTGTAATAATAACAATCTACGCTCCCCGTTCATCGACCCTTTCGACTAATGCCATATACACGCCTAGCCGATTCGATTCGCGGTGTACTTCATACAGTTACATGGCAATCTTTAGCGGGTGTATGTTGCTTCTCCACCTCCCTCTCGTCTATGGCACCGTGTAATCGCACCATACCTTCCTGATAGCAGGGTAGTAACCGCGCGTGGTTGCTGATACCTGGACGGTATCTAGTTAGAGATGATACCGGATAATACCGTCAGATAATACCGTACCTTCGATCACTGTATATAACGCGGAACACGATCGTGAGCCTCCCCGGCATACGCTCTCTCGTCCATCGGCTATCCAGATAATGTCTGTGTCCCTCTTCTCGCACACCGATAATGGCGCGTTGTCATCGGTCATTGTCACACCCGACGTGCGTCTCACTCATACACAAAAGTGAGGTCCGTCCGTCAACCACGTCAAGGCGAAATATCGCCTTGATCCTTACTCGTTTCACTACCGCCCGTCCGGCACTTGCGAGGACGACTCTTCTAATTTCTTTCCTTTTAGCAGTCGGTGTCGTCCTCCTGATGCCTCCTACGCAGCTCCAGGTAACGGTGCCGGGCGTCGCAGTAATGAAGCAGCGGTACCTAGACGTCGGTACCGGTGCCCTCCTGATAGCCCTCGTCGGGCGAGCTGCGCGTGGAACCCAGGACACGTTTCAGCGCCGAAACCGGCGGCAGCACCGGGACGCCGGATCTCTGCCAGACTCGCATCTGCTTCGCGCCAGGCGGGAACTGCTCGACGACCGGCGCCACCACGGCGAGCTGCTCTTTCGAAGGATACGCGCTCACCGTAACGGCGGACGTCGTCGTCCTTCCGCACGTGGTGGCCGCCTCCCGGGTGTTCTCCCACAAACAACTGGTGTACAGCATCTTGCTGGCGTCGTCCATCGTTTCGACGCGGCCGTAATCGGCGACGCCGTAAGGCGTGATGTCCTCGGCGGAACCGCGACGAGTGTCCCTGATGAGATCCGGGTTCTCGATCGGCATCAGGGACGTCGTAGACGAGAAACAGCCGGCGCTCGGCATCGCCGCCACCACGGGCTGATTCTGATCGTCGAAACGGCTGATGGTGCTGTACTCGGTCTCCTGCAACAAGGCCGCCTGCGGTCTCTGCACGTAGCTCAGATGCAGCGAGGCGGGCGGTTTCGACTCGAGCGCGAACGACGTCGTTTCGATCTCCTCGTGTTTCCTGCGAGTGGTCGAGGTCGCGGACGGCGGATTGTCGGTACCGGCGCCGCTACCGGTACCGTCGCCGGACGTCGGCTCCATCGGCGTCGACGACTTGACGTCCTTAAGCGGTATCCTTCGCAGACGAATAAACAGAACCAGAATGATGAGCAAAATGAAGAGGATGATCACCAGCGCGGCCGAGATGCCAGCGATCTGACCCGATCCAAGAGTCGACATGCCAGCGGTTCTCAGGGACACATGCAGGGTAAAGTTAGCTTCGACACTGCCTGCGCGATTCTCCGCGACGCAGTAAAATTCACTCGAGTCCGCTTCCTGGGCGTTGGTGAGGATCAAGGTACTTCTTTTGCGAAACTGACCCTCTTCGAAGATTATGATTTTCTGATAGCTGCTGAAAGAGGAGTGATTTGTCAACAACCGACCGTTCCAGTACCACTTGACATTCGCAGGCGGTATCGCGCTCACACGACACACAATGCTCGCGTTCTCGCCGATGGTCGCCTCGGCGTAGCGATTGGGGATCAGCAGTACCGGTCGGCAGGCGAAGTCGTCGATGCCGAGGTCGGTGAAGGCACGATTGAGCAGCTGCTCGGGGCCGTGGCACACGGGCGCCACGAGGGTCGGCAGGTTATGCTTCACCAGCCACATCTTCATCTCGCGCAGGTGACAGTCGCAGATCCACGGGTTCTCGTGCAGGTCGATGCTGGTGAGCTTGTTCAGAGGCTCGAAGGTGCCCGGATGGAGTATCGTCAGCTTATTGTTGTTGAGCTTCAGGCTCTCGAGGAGCTCGAGACCGCGAAAACCCTTGGACTCGATCTCCACCAGCTGCGTGTGCGACAGATCGAGCTTAACGAGATTCGGCGTGCTCTCGAACGCGTGCGAGCGTATCCGCTCGAGTGGATTGTGATTCAGCAGAAGCTCGCGCAGAAACGGCGTGTTGGTGAAGCTCGAGCTCGGGACCGTGGTCAGCAAATTGCCGCTGAGATCGAGCTCCACAAGATTCGTCAGACCGGCCAGTGCCTCGCTGTCGATCTGGTCGATACGGCACTCACGCAGATAGAGACGCTGCAGATTCGTCAGCCGCACGCGTACGAAGATCTTGCTAGGCAGGTGACGGATGTTGTTGCGGCTCGTGTCCAGCACCTGGGTCGCCGGATCGATCCATTCCGGTATGCTGGTCAGGGAGCGATTTATGCATTCCACCGTTTGCTTGCCGCCCTTCCACTTGCACGAGCACTCGTCGGCGCACTTGTCGCCGCTCGCCGCCACGCCGAGCACCGTCATCGCGTACAGCAGAAACATCGACAACCCCATGATGGATCTTCGTCGTCGTCGTCGTCGTCGTCGTCGTCGTCGTCGTCGTTGTTGTTGTCGCGGCGAATCTTCGGCGCTTCCCGAGAAGTCACGATTTCTCGACTCCTCTTCTTCACCGTCGCGACACCTGCCCTTTTCGGCGACACTCGCGCGCGTGTCGCCTCAACAACAGCCGAGAAGCGTCTTCGCTCGCGCGGAGAAGCCTCTCGGGACCGATCTTCCGCCCATCCTCCTTCTTTCTGCGTCTCTTCGTCGTACTTGTATCTCTTTCTGTGACGTTGAATTTTCTCGTTTTCGATTTTCACTCTATAACGTTTTCTATGTTTTCACACAATCAATTCTGTTCTCGCTGACAGCTGCTGCTTTCACATACCCTCCTAACGCTCCAAGTTTATACAAATCCACCACTTTCAGAGGGGTCCTTCTTGCGCACCGAGGCGAACCACGAGAGGGATCGAGGTTGAACGGGACCCGTCCCGTCCATTCGTAAGTTCTTGTTCGGTACTTATCTCACATGACTCGGTACGTAAATCGCGTATTACTATACTTATTTTGCTCGCGCGAGCACGTTCCGTTCAGCGAGCGCAAACGGCGCCGAAGACGTTCCCTCAGATTTTCGATCAGTCACCTCGTCGAGTATCCAGTGGCGGCGTCACACGTGCGCACACGCGATCAGCGACACACGACGTCATCACTGAGAAGTCGAACAGGCCGTCGTCGTTCTTACGTAAACCTACGGCATCCACCAACGTGCACTCGCGTCGTTCCCGACGAGAAGCTCCTCGACGCCTCCGCCACGCCGTATCGACTGTAACCGCACCACTACTACCAGCAGCAGCAGCACCACCACCGCGCTACCACCGGACCACCACCGCCACCGCTCTCTCACATCCACCGACCACCGCCGCTACTACGCGGCGGCACCCCTGACACCCCGAATTCTCACGAGGTGCTCCGTCGTGCTACCGAGCGTAACGTTGATCTCGATGCGCGGGGGCCAACGTACGCGAGGGTCTTCCCCGTAGACTGCCCTCGCTTGTTCTCTCTCTCTTCCTCTACCTTTCTCACCCTCTCTATACACCGGCCTCTCTCTTTCTATACGCTTCTATCTATTGCTTACGCGCGCGCGCGCGCGCGCGCACGTTTCCTCGCTCGCGGGAAAAAAGCGGCCGAAACCGGCGACGCCAGCGACGCTTGGCGTCGTCGTTGTTGAAATTCGAGACTGCGAAACGCCCGGCAGCGAAACGGAGAGACCCCCTATCTCCTCTCTTCGTATCTTCATCTCGTGTCGTCCTCTCTCCGTCCATCCATCCGTCCGTATGTACGTATGTAACCCCCCGTTGGCCACCCCTGCGTTCCTACTTTCGTACCCCCGCGTGCCCGCTGCACATGCTGGATCGCTCGGGAGGGAAAACGCCGACGCGAAGTAGGGCGCACCCTTCTTCCGCTCTCGCTTACTGGGTGGCCGAAACCACACGCAAACAACGCAGAACATCTAGACAAATGTTTCATCTAAATATCGAAAGTAAACTCGGAATTATTTAACGCGAGAAATTTTATATCCATCTTGCTTATCCGCTCAAAATCTGACGTGACATTTAAAAAAATCTGCATATAAATTCCAAATCTGTACGTATATACAGAAAAGGATTTAAAAGTAAAAATAATTTACTAAAAATAAATAACGTTTGTATCGAAAATTTATGACAACTTCAAAAATTTAATAAATAATGATATCTATTACTATGATTTGTCTAATTTCTCTATGACACCCGGTACATCAGAATGTATACACATACAAACACACACACACACGCACGCACACAAGATCACCGTGATTCGAGTCTACACAGCACCCCCTGCAACCCCGCAACCGCACGTACGTTCTCTACCGTCCAACCCTCCTTCTCTCGCTCTCCCTTTCTCTCGCGTTGGGCACTCGCTTTGCTCTCTACTCTAGCTACGCGGCTAGTCTCTCTCTGTAACAAATCCCCCACTTCCAACCCTCCGACGGCGGTGGTCGTCGGCTTGCGCGCCCTACACGGCGAGTCGAATCGGGAGAGTTTCCATCCCCTACCGACGGTCGGGCAAACCCCACCCTGGACGCGGGGAGATATCTTCCACCCCTAAACGGGGAGAAGGGGCGCATATCGTAGTCGTCGCTATACTCGCCACTCCGCCGCTCCTTCAACCCCTCGTTCCCGTAGCGAGAACGCCTCGGCGTTTCGCGCGTCTCTTTATCCTTGGAGAAACTTCAATTCCTATTCTCCCCTCGCTCCGCCGGATTCTCTGCCGATCTTGCCGCCGAATCCCGCACTCTCGACATATCGAATGCTACGTCACAGCGGAGAGATATACGGCTATTTCGCAAAGTGGTTAAATGCACCGCCAGATTACGGATGAGGGGGAGGGGAGGATTTGCGAAGGGTCGACGATTCTCTCTAGAGCTCGGCGCTCCCGTCGTCGGTCTTGAGACTGCGAATATCGGTTATACGGAATCACGGAATTCCACCGTAGAATTCCGTCCTCGAGCGATTCCGGACCCTCGAGGGGTTCCCCTCCCTCCCTCCTCGCGCGCGCGCGCGCGCGCATACACACACCCCCGGATCGCATATTCGACGTGGAACGCGTACTTATATATATTTGATTCCTCATATCGTACATGCAAACAAAACAAACGGCGATTCCTTGGACGTTGATTAAAAAATTACAGCACTCGATCGTCTTTTTTACTTTCTTCGAGAATCGGTGTTTGAGAGAGAGAGAATCACACGCTAGATTACATCTGCGGTTAAGGGAAAATAGGAGTTTATACACAACACAGCCTTAAAGCTCGGAGAATAGAGTATTTTCTCGGTGATAGATTTATATACAGGGGAAGCGCGACGAAGATAGATATTTTATTCAACAACATTTACCATAATTGAAAACACCCTATTCTTTCGTATCTCCCAACTCGGAGGTAACGTATAACCCCCTTTCTCCCTTCTCGAGTTACAACAGACGTCACAAGGATCGCGCTCTTCTAAAGCTCCACACTCCAACAGCCACACTTAGCGCTAAACGTGGCAGTGGATAGAGGCGGGAGAGAATACAGGTCGGAGTATTTTTCGTTCCTTTATCCCGCCGTCCTTCCTTCCCCTTTTCGGCATTCTTGTATCCTTCTCCGTTGCTATCGTCGCATTGTCGTCGTCTATATATTCCGAGCCGGGAAGGGAATGTATGTGGCATACGGGCTCTCTCGACCGTACGAATGTTTCTTTCTCTTTCTTTTTCTTTCTCTCCCTTTGCTCTTTTCTCCCCATCACCGGGGTAGCTCCCGATTCTGCAAACGACTCGCGGAAAAATAATTCAGAAAATGAGAACCACGACCGGAGAAAGATGGGATTCGACCGAGACGAGAACGAACAAGTGAGATAAAAAGGAAGAGGGGAAAGAAGGAGACTGAAATGAGAAGAGAGATGAGAAACTTTAGATTTGGCTACGCAGCGAGAAGAATGACACGTTGGCGGTAGTGGACGAGGTGGAAGAGTGACTCGTAGTCGTGTACAAATTCTCCCTGAAGGACCTCTTAGACCTAATTGGCCGTCCGAATCGATATCTGCCCGTCCGTTGTCGGCAAAATTGCGACGCTGTGTTTCTCTCTCTCTCTCTTACTCACTTTCTCTCTCTCTCTCTCTGTCTCTCCCTCTCTTCGTCTCATGAAACAGAGAAAAAGAGGAGGGACAATTCAAAGTGACGAGAAAATAAATCTTACGGAATTGGTCCGGAAGAGGGTTGGTAAAGTTGCGCTTTTCTTTCGCCGTTTCATTTAGTGCTTTATGAAAATAAATCGAATCGCGACCGTTGCTTGGGGTTTGTTTTAAAAACAGTGACGCAAATTGATGTAAAAACAAATTTGAATCGCCGGCCAGGATGTAAACGGATGACGAATGCGTGCGAAGATAGATTTCTCCGTATTCACAAAGATTAACAAAGAAGAAACGACTTTAATACGCAATCAGTGATATAAACATAGTTACAAGTCAATTTAAAGAAAACAATTGTTGAGCAAATTAAGTGTATTTTGAAATTGAAATTTGTCCGCAATTTCGATTGCAGAGTACAGGAAACACAAATTTAAATTCTAAGAAGACCTATAAAAAAAAATCTCAAATAAATAATATCACACCTCTCTCAAAAATGTCCGATTTGTGAAAAATCGCTCAAAGTGGGACACTTCGACTTCGATTTTTCTCAAAAAAGGTCATTAACCTTACATAAATTTAAATTTGTCTCATTCTTTCATATCATTATGAATTATTGATGAAGTTTCTTCTTTCCTACGAGAAACAAAGACGATGAGAAAAAAATAAATAAAAGATGAGAGAAAGATAGGATAAAGCGGAACGTAACGATATTATGTGAGAATGCGAGCTTTTGCTTCTCTCTATTGATGTTACACTTGATGAAGGTGGATTCGCACAGGCGCTACGGAGAGAGAGAGAGATAAGAGAGAGTCGATAACGCGCGTCTTTGTGCGCGATGCATCCGACGATGCCGCGGTGGTGTGGCACGGCCGAACGACGCTATTTAAGCGACTACTTAAAATCAATAGCGCCCCGACGTTTATATCGCGCCAAGGGTCTGACAGCATAATTCTTATGCTCTCTTCTTCCCTTTCTCACTCGTTCTCTCTTTTCTCACTCTCTTTTAAACCTCATCCGGCTTGTCTTCGCGAAATCTCTGCCCTCCACAGATCTTCTCCCATTGTAAGATCCGGGGGATCGCAAGACGCTGGAGAGGCTTACGGAACTAGTAAATACAATCGAATATATGTATGTGTGTGTATATTTCGACGATATTGAAGTATCAATGTCATTTTCGAGATATTGAGTATTTTTCGCATCCATGTATTTCTTACTTCCACGCCAAAAGCTTGTGAATGGAAAAAGCACTTTCGTTATCAATTTTCTGCAATGTTTTAAACAGTGTTTACATGTGTATTTATAGATTTTTTAAAATAAATATTTTGTTTTATACATGGTATATGTATAAAAATTTTTTTAAAACTAATTTTTAAAGCGCATAATATTTCCATTCACGAGTCTCTTATTTATGTTCGATTTGTTGCTGCTGTACAACTGCACATACGCACACATTTACAAGATATCGATGATATTGCGATCGATACTTTCCCTATACGATACTCCAATATCGTTTGTGTGATCATTTTTCGTGTAAATTATAATGCGCTATATATCGGATAACAAACATGAAAATAATACTATTTAATGATTTTTATTTGAGATGAAACATTTATCTACTTTTCGCCCGAGGTCAATTACTCTGTGTGTTGAACGCAATTTAAAAACCGAATGCACATTATCGCAACAAATGAAGCCGTACGAACGGATAAACTATTTCGATGTCTCAATGTAACGTCGCACACTTCATGTCGTAATCCACTTCCACGTTACATCAAGTCGCAATAATTCCCGGATATGCTTACAAAATATATATATGGAGACTATAACAATAAAATAAAATGATCGCGAATGTTTCGAAATACGAATAAACAGCAAGTAGGGCTCGGCGAGAGCTTTTGTAAAAGTAGCGAGTTAATTTTTCCGCGGAGCGCAATTGTTTTTGTTGTCTACTGTGGCACACGTATTATAAATTCATCAATAATTTGTAAAACGATAAGAAAACATGATTTGAAGTAAATCTAAAACGTTTTCCTCCACATATTGTTCAATTCACTCTGTTTTACTTAAACCGAATAGAGAGTAAAATATTGAGCAATTCAGGATGGTGTGTGTATGTGTGTGAGTGTGGTGTGTGACGTAACAAATATACATTTGTGTCGTTTTAGTATATAATGAACCAGAAATTTTTATTAAGGGGCGCAGTTGCACTGTTCAGTCCCTTCAGGAAACAAAATTGACACATATAATTTTATTTAGATTGGGTTTGAGCTAAACAGAATAGAAACTAAAAAATAGTGTTTGTATAGTTAGTACGCGCAAACCCATCTTTACAATTTAGAAAAAGAAAAACAATAATTATATATCGTATTGGAACACAAGAAAGCACACAATCACGGATACTGCTTACAGAGTATTTCCGCAATGGTAACATATAACGGGAATAAATTGTCTAGACAAATGCACATAAAAATCAGAAATACACAGTATTCCATCTGCGCACAATTACGCGTGAGTCGCGAGTTATTTGTAAATATACATAAAAGTTCCGTAACATTGCGAAACCAATTTTCCATTGCAATTATTTTTTTTTGTTTTGTTTTGTTTTGCATACAAAGTTTTGTACATATAAATTTTTTAAGATACATTAAGAATTGTCATTATTCGTGTGAGATACGTCTTTTTCTATTTTTGTTTTTTTTTTGTTTTTTTTTGTTTTTTTAATGTTTCTCATTTTATACGATTCGATTATTTTCTGCTATAAAACACGAACGCACACAAAAAGTTAGTTTCATAACTTAAGACGCTTAAAGAGAGTTTGCAATGTTACGTAACTTGTATTTACAAGCAACCGAAACTCCAAAATTTCAACGTCACAAAATAAATTGAGGTCTGTTTTATATCAAGTCGAAAATCTTCGTTCTCGTTAATTATGACGACAATAATAATAGTAACAAATGTATCACATTACAGTGTTTGAATCGGATATGCAGTAGCGTGATAAGTGGTTCCGCAATATGATACACAAAATGTATGAGATACTAAACTTTTTAACAAAATGGTAAAGTTGTGTCGATAAACTGACATTTGTTTTACTTTCGTTAAACTGATCTTGTTTTCCTTTTTTTAAACCAATCATAACTTAATCTTCGTGAGTGTTTTTTTTTGTTTTTTTTTTTTTTTACTTTTTCTTTTTTTATGGTCTTTTTTCAAATATTGGAGATCTAATTCCAATATTATATATTATAATCGAGCTGCGTATGTCATTCGAACGCGGAAAGACTATGTGGTCTGCATGGATTAAATTGTTGATGCGATCGATTCTCGATTCGTTGCTGGGAATGTGCTTTGCACGCAGCTCGCCGCCATTGGACTCAACCAATGGGAGTAATTTAAACGACAATGCAACGAGATCTATACGGATGTTCTGTTTAGAGAGCTCGTTCGCCGGATGTTTCAAACTTACGATTTAAATCGTAAAACAAATAAATTCAATCTCCCGGATGATCGTAGGGAGCGTTTTCTTCGTTATTTTATTCGCACATAACCGGATGTTAAGACACATTACTCCCGAAACCGTATTTCTACGTCGTACGAATTACATTCGCTCAAGAACAGTTCTTGTTGCATCCGCAATCAGATTACATGAACCGTACTTGAACACATGTTTCGTGAACAGATATGAAAAACGTGGTCAAATGTACCAAAGTAAAAAAAAAAGCCTATTCACTTTGGCAAATTTGCAACTGCAGAAGTTATTCACTAACATATATTCCAGAAGCTTTGAAACAAAAAAAAAAAAAAAAAAAAAAATAACAGGAATTTTGTGGCCCTGTTTCTAATTTTTGTAATATGCAAAAATATAATGTCACTTGCACGGCTGCATGAAGTAAAGATTAGAAAGTCATCACATTTGTCAGTGTCTGTTCACGTAACATTGCTACTATTCAACTTTTTTTTTATTTTTTTTATTTTTTAAGCCCACTTTTTTCTAAGTTCACACATCCATTTCGCAAAAGACATTATTCTTTGGAAAGAGTCAAGTAAAACCCGACATTTGTTTGTACCTTTCGTGTGCGTGAGTAATTGCAACGCCTTTGTAAGATATATTACTTTGCAGTTTGCTGCAATTGATAATCTTTTATTTCAATTTTTCTTACGGTTCAAAGTTTTAAAAATATCAATCACTTATATAAATATAATGAAAGAAATTTATATAAACTTGAAAACGTAATAATAAATAACTTAAAAGTTAAAAATGAAACAAATTTATTATATAAAGTTCGAAAATATCTATGTTTGTTAGAAAAACAATTTTGACTAGCATCGCATTAAATCCAATCGCTCACTTTTTTTCGACATGTATGTTAGGTGTAGCGATAAATATATATCACTATTTTAACTGACTCTTTCAAAAATCGAATAAATATATTTCGCGAAATAGACCTCATAAAATAAATCAGTGATTCCGATTATAGCGCAATAAAAAAGCGCAGCCAAATAATTTCTTCTTGGACACAAACTCGCCTACACAAGGTTGCAAAAATCGGAATTTTCGAAAAATCGTCGTAGGCGCAATAACGATAGAAGCTAACAGAATAAGGCCGGATTTTTGTAGCAATAATCGTTATCACATGGAACCATATTCTTTACGTTCGCATTACATTAAGTAGATATAAAATGAATGGGAGACCGTAATATTAGACTATGAGGTATAGATATGCGATTCTGATCGATCAAATTGAGATGTAGTGGGCGACAAATTATTTGATCAATAAGATCGCGCGTTCGAGATAAACTTATCGGCAGGAAGAAGATCCAAAGTGCAGGCGTAAATGTAAATCACAACATAGAATACTCGACTTGCAGCGAATAATAAAAATTTCTGTGAGAAATCGCTGCCAATTTTTGTATAAATGATTCTCCCCCCCCCCTGTTTTTTTATTTCTGTTTTGGAAATGCTGCTTTATGTACCCCGTTCAAAAACCACTTCGAACAAATTGATTCCCAAATGATTGATTCTTCACTTTAAATTTGTGCATCACAGGATTTCACAGCTAGGTATATATACCGTCCATAATCTGTACCCGTTTGATGCACGCCCGTCTGACGACTGGCTAGTTTGGCCCTTTACTACACGAACAAAATGTCCTGAACGTTTTTTCCCCCAAAGTGAGGAAAAATAAACCAAATAGTAATACTTTTTGTATCTAGAAAGTTTCGTTTACATCGAAATTGTTGTATTCTTCAGACAATGTCATTACGAATCTTGCTTGCATGCTGCATTTCGCTAATATATTCGGCGCTGCAGTATAAAAAAAACACATGTATACATATGTATACTGTAAGTATATATACAATATAAAATATACAGTATTATAACGACCGACACGCACTTCGCAGAGGAGGAACCAGATGTAAATTAGTCTTCCAATGTTCGCTGGTTTTTCAAAATTATGTATTTCACATGGCACCACCGTTTGGCAGATTACTTTCCTTCATTATCTTGAATCAAGCGAAAGATAGCGTTCTGACGGATCGACGGAGACAATCCCGTTTTATTTTATTTTTTTTTTTTTTTTATCTTTTAACGAACGGTACTTTCTCGCTTGTGCAAGATAGATTTTTATCTGCCAGAATTTTAGAAGAGAGTCGCACAGTAGTCGAGACGTTAGTTCGAAAAAGTTTTCGTTGATCCGAATGTTAGATCATTCATCACTTTTCCCGAATACCATTTTACCAGCTGTACAAATTAGTTTTCGCCACTCATTTATTTCGTTAGTTCCGCCATTTGATCATTTGAATTCAACGAATACACATATATCGTATAAAGTTTTATCAAGGAGATGTAGAAATTTAAACTCGAAAAATACATATCAGAATAACCAATAAATCTAAAATTAAAAAAAAAAAAAAAACCGACTTAAAATTCAGTTTTATCTACATTCATTTGATATCAACACTCAAAATAATGCTAAAGAGATAAGCAAGTTATTCTTTAATGCACTATCTATTGCTCTTGACGAAAATTGCTCGTCGCACAATAAAACACATAACGTCTATGACACAAATGTTTGCATGACAAAAAATTTGTGATGTAAGGCACGAATCTCTATACCACGACCTTATCAATTCAAGTCGCAGAAATCCCAAATAGTTTCGAACCTTCGGCCAAGCGGCCATTTACTCTCGCGCGTGATGAAGACGATGACAATGTGAAAAAAAATGAAGAAAAAAAAAAAAAAAACCTTACTACAATATACTTGAATGTTACAATTCAATACACAAATGCTACTCTTTTCATCACTTTGTAAAGAGAGGCATACGCTTTTCTTCAACTATGCGCGAGCTACTGTTTGACCATGTAATAGCGCCTAAGAAATCTTAATGCTACATCGCCACTTAATTTGAAAAACCAATACTTTCACAGTGAACAACCGTTCACACGGACGCACCGTGTCAAATATACACGGCTGATCGTTGAACAGTTTACAATCATTGTTTCCTCCTCTTAAAAAAATGTCCCTCTTGTGTCAGCGTTCTCACATCACTGTATATCTATTCTACAATCGCTGTGATAAAGAGTTACAGTTACAATTGATACTGCAGCCCCAAATATATTTATATCATTTCATACTCTGTAATTACCGTTAATATTTCATTTATTAGAGACGAATTCGCCTCGGACAATGAAATATTTTGGTATCACTTTTCTCTATTTTGTAAGAATTTTTGCTCCTATAAACCTAAATTGTAGTCTGTTCTTTATAAAAACTAATTATATAAAACTAGTCCATTGTACAATCTCTGATTCTCAATCACTGTAAAAGGAAACTCCGATTATGCTTAAAAAAAAAAAAAAAAAAAGAGAGAAAAAGAAAAGAGAAAAAACAATTTTTACAAAGATGATTAGGTATATACAAACAGAAAAGATAAGATAGTTTTTAAAGCGCTAACGAGTGACTTGAACTTCAGAGTTGTTTGACGGTATTTGACACTTAGCAAAATCAAGCCATGATCAAACTTTACAACTGATATTTTAATATCCAATTTTCAGATCGCGCTGAGATCTGTGGGTACGATCTGTATGTATATATGACCTTAAATATCGATGTTCTAAGGGCAATTTATACATATGCATAACAGTAGAAAAGTAATGAGCACATGTGGACCGGTATGTTGTACTCAGCAAAGATTGACCGACAGTATATTCTTTCTTTAACATGCCCTTTTTTTTATCATCGTCAGACAACAAAAGAAAAGAAATACTGGAAGAATGAAAGCTGTTGTATAAAAATCTCCTATTAAAACGATGTTGTGTGTACTCGCGCGTGTAATATTTACAGTTATGATAAAATGCAATGATTGATTATACACGTTGTTATTCACATATCTGTTTACATATTGTGCATCTTGATGATGGCTTGACTCTGTAATAGTTTCGTAGGCTATGTACATTTAATAAATGTATTTTTTGTATGTACAAAGATTGACTCGCACAAACATTCAACTCTGATCACACATCAATCAAAAGATTCACATTCACGCCTTAGTATACAAACTTATATTATCATTGTATATTTGTTATGTATGACGGTGTATCGAAACTACTTGGACACATTACCCTCTTCCATACTATTATTGTCTTCTGGTCTTGCTACGTACAAACTAGGGTCTATCACCTTTGGGATAGGTTTTATTTCTGTTCCAAGTTCCTGTTCGATACGATGTAGGTTGAAACGATCTTCGTACGTGATTAGGTTAATTGCTATACCTAAATGGCCGAATCTACCAGAACGACCGATTCGATGCAGATATGTTTCTGCCATTTTCGGAAAGTCAAAATTGATTACGACGTTCACAGCTTGAACATCAATACCACGTGTAAATAGATCACTGCTCACCTAAAAAAAGAAAAAAAAGAAAAAGTTATGTTTTATGTTAATCTTGAATTTCAGGTATTAATATAATATATATCATAACAAACACATCAATCAACTTACAAGATTTCGGCATAATCCCGCACGGAAATCATGGAATACGCGATTGCGGTGCGCCTGCGCCATTTTCGCGTGTATATAATAACAGCAATACCCAAGGTCTGTTATTTTCTTAGCCAGTAATTCAACACGTTGTGTCGAATTGCAGAAGATTATGCTTTGCGTTATTTGCAACTACAGAAATAACACATAAAAATGAAATATACTTGCAACAATGTATTAAGATTAAAAAGATATATTGTGAATATATCGCGTACAAGTCTTACCTTGGAGAATAACGTGTTAAGGCAGTGAACTTTTTGTCGTTCCTGTACAAAAGCGTAATATTGCGTTACGCCCTTCAGAGTCAATTCTTCCATTAAATTAATCTCATATGGATCTCTCAAATGTTTCTCCATAAATTGTTTCACAGTTAGAGGAAATGTAGCTGAATACAATAGAATCTGACGTTGTGGTGGCAATCTAGAACACAAACATTTACTAATAAGCAATTGAAATTGATTTAAAAAAATTAAAATTGTTAAATAAGTCAAATGATCATTTAAATAATCGCACAAGTATATTGGCAAGAAATCAGTTTTCGAAGTATCAAATACAATATTTCTTTCACACACACCTAGATATTACATGATCTAACATTCCCTTGAAGTCTTGTGACAGCAGTTTGTCTGCTTCGTCCAAAACTAGAATTTTGCATTCGCCCATATTTGCTACATGCTTATCCATTAGATCAAGAATCCTTCCTGGTGTTGCTATTATCACTTGTACTAAATAGACAATTCAATTTTACAAATTATTGTTCATAAGCAACTATTTCTATATTTTACAGTAACTATCCTCGTAATTGTCACTTAACAAAGGAACTGCGATAACAGTTGAAAATGGCAGTTCGAGTTTGTTTTCATGCAGCACAAGACTCTCTAGCACAAAATATAATAAAAGAGAGAAGAGCAAGCAAGACTGATGTGATATCTTTATTCTACATCAATAAAAGTGAAACAAGTATCTCAGACAAATTGTTAAGATAACAAAACTCAAGCTCAAAAAAGAATAATAAATAAATACGATCAGAGTAATTAAGTGACAATAACGCGAAAAGAAATAGTAATAAATGCGCTGACACCTTTTTGATAAATCCTCATAATATCGTCGCGTAAGTTGGTTCCACCAGTAGTGACCATCACTTTAATATCCATATGCTTTGCAAGCTCGATACAAATTTGTGATGTCTGTAACGCTAACTCTCTTGTAGGTACAATCACCAGTGCTTGGATTACGTCTTTTTTTGGGTCAACCTGATACAAATCAAATAGAAAATCCAATAATATACATACATATAATATCAATAAGCATGTATACAAAATGATATTGAAACTTTTAATTTAATACTATAACATAATTTGACTTTCAAATCTAAGGTCTTTTAGTTTATAATAAAGTTTCTGTATACATATATGTATATATATGCCAAATGCAAATTTTAATAATAAAACTTTTACTCATTATTCTGTAAAATATTCTCTTTTTTAATAACACATAATATATTACATGCGTGATAAGAGAAAATATATAGATGATCTAAGTGACCTGATATTTGTAATATAATAAAGCTGATCAAATTAATATGTTCCAAGTTATACCTGTTCCAACACTGGAATAGAGTAAGCTCCTGTTTTACCAGTTCCATTTTTCGCTCGCGCTAAGATGTCTTTACCAGAAAGTGCAATGGGAATACTTGCTTCTTGAATCGGTGATGGCTTCTCCCATCCCTTTTCAAAAATTCCCATCAATAATTCTCGTTTTAGGCAAAATTCTTCAAACTCGTTACCTCGCGTGTCAGTAACATCCTGTAAAAGGCATTCATTTAAAAGTAAATTTTAATTTAAAATAAATTTGTGTATTGTAATTTTACAAATTTTTTGTTTTATTTTATATTCAAGAAAAATAGACAAATAAATGTTCAATCCAAATATATTTAAAAAAAAACAGAATACTTAAAGTCAGAAAAATACTAACTTATGTGTTATAACACATAAATAATATATAGTGCATTTTTTTTAAATCTGAAAACTTACACTTGTCTTGATCCTTTTATCTTTTGGTGGAATTTTTAATTTGGCTTTCCAACCCACATCATCCATTTTGTCTATTTCTGATTTATTAGATAAACCAGAATTTAACATGTGATTAGAGTTCATATGCGTCTCTGTCATCATTTTGGAACTATTATAGTGTATATACTGTATACTTTCTTTTCCTGAAAAGAAATATATGTATATAATATAATGTTACAATCTATATGGCAACATATATATATATATACATGTATATGTATATATAAAGTTACAACTATCTGAAATAAACTGCACATATAATCTATATATATACATCTTACATAAAAAGAAAAAGAAAAAGAGATAAAATTTTATCACTATATATTTTTAAAGATATTTATAAATTGCATTAAAAAATAATTCATATATCACAAATTATAATCTCTTTATATATTATTTTTTGTTATATTTTTATAAATAGGCTATAATAAAATTTTTTCCAAAACTATTTAAAAAATTAAAATAAGATATAAACTGTATAAAAATGTCGTTAAATATATTTAATAGCGCGTGTAAGTTTTCGTATTAATGCCTGAATAGGACTGCCAGAAGGAGAACAAGACCAAACAAAATTGACCTACAATGTATGTCTATAGATATACTGTTTGCTGTTATAAATACATTCAAATGTGCTAAGTGTTTTTGTGTGTTTGGATCTACACAAGGAAACCGTGAATACCTTACAGATGGAACAGATAACTATAATGTGAAAAAATATATATAAATTTTCTTGTCTTTTGTAACTACAATATAGATAAAAACAAATAAGAAAATAAGTATCTTTTATGATTCATGATGATTCATTATTCTTCAAATAATGTTTAATAAATATGTATGTAATAAATATATATATATATATATATATATATATAGAGAGAGAGAGAGAGAGAGAAAAAGAGAGAATTTATTTGTTCCTGCTTCTATGTAGAATATGTAGAAAAATGTTTTTTATCTATGTACCATAAATTTTAGAGGTCAATTTACAACACATCAGAATAACAAAAGATGCAAACAATAACAGTGAAATAAAACAATGAGATAATCAAACTGAATAAATACAAAGAATTTTCCACAATAAAATATAAGGAGAGTAAGTTTGCGAACGTGTTTTGTAATTAACGATAACCAATACACTCAGCCGTAATACGAGCAAACAAGTCTTGCCAATTTCAAACGCGTAACGTTCAAACCGTCGACAAAGGCAGAGCCATACAACAATTCGTACCGTTGCGCCAGAAAATTTTAGTTTCCCAACAATTCGAAACGTTGCGCGCACAATGTTGCTGCCGTCCGTACCCGGATACGTTCTTCATACCCGAATGTGATCCGTTGAGTCGGTTTGAAGTCGCTCAAGACGCGAATTTGCGTCAGCAAGACAGAAAAAAAAAAAGAAAAGAAAACTGTACGAAACCGGTAGGCCTGGTACTTAACAGACTTTTCGCGGCGACTTTGTCCTCACAGGCGTGCGCCGCGTGGAGCGACGCGGCCGAAGGCAAGGGGTAGAGACGGACCAGAGGGTACGCAACGGCGTCCGAGCGAACGGTGTTCCTTACCTCAAAAACGGATGGACGTCGATGCCGTGTGTGTGTTATGTGTGCCTCTAGCACTCGATCAGGGGGAAACAATACGCCAAAATGGCCGTTCCCAATGTCAATTTCGTCGACTATCACGCAGCGCCAGCGACCGCGTCGGAGACACCGTTCGGTGCGCTTTTTTTTTCTCTCTCACAGCGTACACTCGTTCGTTTTCGTTGGGCGCTCCGAAAAAAAAAAAAAAATTGTTCTCGCGTGTGATGCGCGGGGTCGACTTCTCCAAGAAATTCGCTTCTGTCTCTCTTCTCTGCGTTCTCGTGATTTACGTTTAAGCTTGCAGTAACTCGAACTCCTGACTAATGCACTGCGTCGAATGCCAGCGACGATTATTGCTTGTTCGGTATACACGAACCGCACCACGAAGAGTGGGAAGTAACCGAGAGCGAGAAATCCGTTGCCCAGTCGCGCCCTCACACGACGTCTGTGTGGTCTCTGTGTGTAATCACTGGGGCGCTGCGTGTTTATCACCGTTTGTCTTGGCGCGTCTGGACCAATAGCGACAGCGCATTTCTAGGAACTTGTTCCGCCATTGCTCGTGATCAGCGGTGGTTCTTTCATCTCACACTTTCGTATTCGTATGACAACAAAATTATTATTGGCCGCTAGCGATAGGTGTGTTCTTCTTCTCCGGGAATTGCAATAATCCGCGTTACAACAAACTGTAATTGGCTTGTGAGGGCGCTTTCTTCCAAAAATGCGCGACCAATCAACGCATCGTGTCGATTAAGTCGACTCGACCAATCACAGACATACACATAATATTACGTTTGCTGTTTCAAACTGTCGAGTTTTACGGATACGAAGTGATACGAATGAGCAACTACGTAAAAATACTTCGAAACGTCATTTAATTGCAAATAAATAGCGATTACAAGTGCTGTTGCAAAAATTATTTCGAAAACTTTTATTTTGAAAAATTAACACCGCTGTGACGATTTATTGACGTATGCTTAGAGCACAGATTTATAAAAATGAAATAATATGTTATTTAATAAACGCTAACGAACAAAAAAAAAGAGCACAGTTTTGTATGTACACATGTAATACTGTAATAATTAAAAACAATTAGAATTAATACGCTGATTATTACGAGAACAACGGAAATATGTATATCGAAATGTCTGTTGCCGGTATTTGTATAGTCGAATCTTATCTTTGAGATACGTCTTCGGTTTATCTTAAGTTAGGTCTGTAGATGAGACAATCCACGTGCGCGCGCGCGCGCGCGTGATCTCTTAAGATGAATCTGAGATGATCTCAAATGTAAGATAGGGCTACGAACATTGTCTTGAGAGTGAATTTAATTCGCATTTATGGACAAACGATTTCTTTCTTTTGAGATATACGATATTTGCGGCAAGCTTCCGGACAATGACGCTCCAGGTAACGTCTTTGCGAAAAAGCTTTGAAGCACACGCCACAGCGCCATTGCCACTGATGATGATTACGCGTTCTCTGATGAGCGCGTAGATTCGAACTGAAAAATATCAAAATGAGAGTGTGTTAATGTGTGTATATATATATATATATATATATATCTTGCTTTTTTTTTTTAAATTGAGACACAATGACGCAAAGTATAAACTTGTTGCGTGTTTTGAAATATCCAAATGTATCTTTTTGAACGCGATTATAGGTTTTCAACTCGAATTCTCGTCTACCTACCGATCGGCGAAAGATTTGTGACAAACCGGACACTCAAAGGGTCTTTCTCCAGTGTGAAGACGCAAGTGACCCTTTAAGACCCACGGACGATCGAAGCTCTTGCGGCAATATGGACAATAATGCATCGTTTTATTTTTCTTCCAAGGTTGAACGTTCGTGGACGTTTTATGCTCGTTAACGTTTATCGGTTCGTGTTTTTGTTTTGGAATCAGATACAAAGCTTGCGAGAGCGTCTGTGTTTCGCCACCGTTGACAATTTTCTGATTTATCGCCTCGGCGATATTTTCTGGATTTATCACTTGCATCGTTTTTGCCGATTCCGTTGTGCTAGTAGAGGAGGATCGAGATGCGTTATTCAGCGATAACGTGGACATTTTCTCCGTTTCGTTTGTTCTTATTCCGTCGAACGACGGCGAGGTTTGAGAGATGTTCGCGAAATTTCGGCCCGTATCGAACATATTGTGGTGAAAGGTATATCGAGTTACAATGGGAAGACCCGAACACGTCCAGATATTGCTTGTCTTCAACGACGGGTCTTTTGTGCGATTCTTTCGCTTAAAATCCGTGGATGGCGGTAGCCAAGAAAAATCGGTTTCTGTAAGAATCGATTTTCCGTGATGCGAGAGAAGCACAGATATATACACGTATCTCGTATCAAAATACGTGTCTAGATTCAACTTACATGAAAGTTTATCTCATCTACCAAAAGATAAATAAATTACAAATAAGAGAAAACTTTTTTTGCATCAAATATAAAATGTTCAACCATTGTTGCAAATATTGTAATGAACTATTATGTATATATGTATATAGTTGTAATATATTGTTTAAAAATATGTAAATATCTTTTAAGTAGATAATTGAGATTTTTTTTCTTTCTCAAAAAAACAAAATTATATAAATTTCATTTTCTTGTGTCAAATATCATAACAAATAATTGAAAATTTAATTATTTAATACACATATTTTGTACTTCTTTGCGGCATTAACTCACATTATCTATTACATAGTAATTACCAAATAACAATAACTTTACACCAATGTTAAATTTTCTATTTAACAATTTAAATAAATATTATTCACGAACGTAAAATTTATATTGCTGAATAAAAAATTAATTAATGTAACATTGATGAAACGTTCTTTTTTCTTGGTATTTATTTAGTATCTTGAAAAAGAGAGATACTTTTGAGCGTACATTTTCGATGTGTGTATGCATGTGTGTATAATTTATATATTTAGAAAGTTTGAAAGTCTATCACGGAAACGGATACACACGGCATGATCGTCGGAAAGTTGTTATCACTGTCAAGGTTAAAATAACGACATTACAGGCAATCATACATTTTAAATATTCTAAGACAAGCATTTGCTAGGACATTTCATAACCGTAAAAGAGATCGTTTCCTTTTTCTTTATCGACTATGCTTCGGTCTTACTTACTACAAAAGATTGTACGAAAAGAACAAAATACCTTCGTTCAAAGTATCCGTCCTCGGATAACGTGCCATCGACTTTATCAAGCAGCGTGGCATTTTTTTCAGATATAAATGGAGGATCACCGCGGTCTGCAAAGAATGTTTTTAACTGCTATCCACTGCAGCAGCAAAATAGCACTGTCGTGCATTTGACATACACCGGCTTTTGTTTTTATCGAGCAGTGACGTATTATCAAAAAAGAAAAAGACTGTTATGTGACAAATGATGAAAATTATATTATAGACAACGTTAAGAAGAAAGAGAGTGTGTGTGTGAGAGAGAAAAAAGAAAGAAGAAAGAAAGGGAGGGTGATATAATAACAAAAATTTCAACCTATAAAATATCCTAGTTTTTATTTCCAGCATGTTTTGTTAATTTTTAAGAATCACATAATTTAATGTTACTAGTGTTATTATTATTCATCGTTTTCAATTTTCAAAAAGTATTCTGTTGAATTTACATTATTTGTTAACTTATATTATTAGTACAGATATGTGATATATATATTGTACATCACATTATCACGCCCCGAGCTGTCTGTTTACGCAATATCCTGAGAACTTCTCTGTTTTCGTCAGCGACCTTCCGTCTTGCTGACATGTTGTATATAAAGATCTATATCATCGCTTTGAACTTAACGTTTCTGAATCATTCTGTACTGTGCCACGATCGGAGCAACACGTCTTTTCTTCCTGAAACATACGAATATCTGTGTTATATGTATATGAGTATTTTCATTCACCACTGTAAGTACATTACACATACACACGTATGTACACGTTTTACTTATATGTTCATTCCCGCTTCTTGAAATGATTTTTAAATGTTGTAAGTTCGTTACGAAAGACGTGCGCAATGAAGTTTCAATTAAAACATGATATAATTTTAAATTACATTATCCTTTTAAGTTTTAATTACATTAAAACAATTTTTTGAACCGAATTAACCGAGTAATTTTACAAAATTTTGTTTTTAAATGTTAGTTTCAAAGAAGATAATTTGTCTCTATATTTAGTTGAACTTATTCTACATTTAGTTCTCTTTTAGATAACAATAATCTCTAGCTTACTTGATATTTTTGTGAAAAGTTGTTTCTTCATTCTAAATAGTTTTCTTGTTTCTAAACGATCAATATCTGGTTTAGGTGATAACGACTTTTTTCGATTAAAAACTTTAACGCACATGTGTAAATAGTTTTATAATTTTATACAATAATTTCATACACATAATTTCAAGTTATTTTTCTGTTTGCAGATGCCTCATAATGCGGGCTCGTTGTTTATGTCCAGCTTCTTACTTTCTTTTCTTCTTAAAGGTAGAATAGAGAATTTTTGTGTATTAAAAAACCACCGAAAGATAAAGCTTCAAGTTTTAACATCTTTTAAAACACACTTATGTCTTTTGTTTCTTTTTCTCACATCGATTTTAAGACATTCAAGCCCAACTGTTTGCCTAATTGCAATGTTTAGTCGCTTTGTATTTTTTATTATTGACATGTGAAACAAAACTCTCTTATTTTTACAATTAGATACGTCGCTCTATGTAGCTACGCTACAAGAAGAATCCAATGCCGGTGCTTTTGAATGCGTGAACACCAAAGTTGTGTCGTATTTGACCGTATGCGATGGAAAAGACGACTGTGGCGATAATTCGGATGAAACAAATTGCACCGTGAGTATTGTGCTGTATTTGATATATAAAAAAAAATAAAAATTACTCTTTGCAATCGCGACGCAACGACCGAAGATTTCGCGAGAGCGTCTTTCACGCCTCGCGGATCTTTCAGTTTCTATTTTTGTCTTTTTTGTTTTTTAAACGACAAATATCGAGTATGTAATTTTTTGGTGCTTTCAGTATACCATGACCTCGAAGCTTCTTCCTCTCCACTGTTCGTACACAAATATAACTTATATGTGCAAACACGCGAATACGTGTATACCACAGGAAAAATTTTGCGACTCAGTAGAAGATTGTCCGGACGGAAGCGACGAATACAAAGATTGCACGCACGATGTAAGTGTGTATCTAATACTTGTTCCGCGTTCTGTTATTAGATATGCCCGTTATTAGATATGTTTCGTTATTAAATATGTAGCGATGTTCTCATACTACTTTTTCAACAGTTACAGTGTAACAATAAATATAAGTGCAATGACGGACATTGCATACGAAAGAACTGGGTTTGCGACGGCATAAGAGATTGTCCCGACGGTTCCGACGAGTTATGTGGTAATTTGTTTTATCGTTAAGAATAATAAGACACGTCAATATTTTACACGCTTTGTCACTTAAGTGCCATTCTTAATGTTTTTTTCGTGCGTTAGAGATTTCGAAAAGATCCGCAAAACAATGTATACCTGCAAATAATATGTATTTGTGTCAAAACAAACGATGCATCTTTCTTGACATGGTGTGCGATAACGTGGATGATTGCGGAGACCTTTCGGACGAAGGTGGTAATTGTAAGTATATCACGCGTCTCGTATTTTTATAATTGTTATCTCTTTAAATTACGGATTTAAAGCGCAGGGCACGTGTCGTAGAAGTTTCGCGCGCGTTGGTTTGTAACGTTTACAATTATTTCGCTTTCAGGTAAATCATCGTGTTCGAATAATTGCGAGCATAAATGTAAGAGTACGCCTACAAAATCTGTGTGCACCTGTCCGACAGGTTTCAAATTGAGCAATGAAACTTCATGCGAAGGTAAATCCACAACGACGCGACAGCGATGATGACAGTTCGTCGATATCTGTTTCGCTTAATATACGATTCTGTTTTTCTTTTTCGTTTACAGATATCAACGAATGCGAGACTTTCGGAATATGCGATCAGTTGTGCGAGAACACGAAAGGGTCGTACAAATGTTCCTGCAAACAAGATTACAGATTGCAGAGTGACAAGAAAACCTGTCATGCAGCAGGTAAACTTATGATTTTGCGAACCGCGCTACGGCGTCTGTGATATCCCGTCTAAATCATCGAAATTTTACTGAATCATTCTTTTGTTTTTTTTTTTTTTTTTGTCGAATTTAGGTAGCGGTGAAGCTATACTGTACTTCACAGATATAAAACAAATTCGCGGAATATTTCTGAAATCGAGAGAAAATTTTTTAGAGCACGAAATACAACGTAGTCGTTTTATCACGAGCATGGCTATGAACAAAGATTATATATATTGGAGTAATAAACGGATCATCTACTTAAGTGACTCGAAAACAGTTCATGATGTAAAAATGGTTACAATAGGTAAGCACGATGAGATACACGCGCAAAAACAATTATTTTTATATATAAACACTCGCATCTCTTTTTTTTCATTCGCACTCTTGCAACAAAAAGCGTTCACTTTTTACAAGTTGAACAAAAATTATAAGTAATTTTTTTTACTATAAATAAATTTAAAAAAACAATACTACAATTGTGTGAAAAATCTTTTATCGTATAATTTGTCTTTCTTTTTAAAAAAAAGGCCTGAAAAATATACAAAGCATGGCTGCGGATTGGATTACGGGCAATTTATATATCGCAGATTGGTATTTTGTCGCGGTTTGCACTTATAATGGCTCTTATTGCAAAGAATTATTGACTATCACAAATGGACAACCAATAGCACTAGCTCTATCACCACCCAACGGGTAATATTCTTAACAAGTCTTGTTCAACTTCGACCGATAAATAATAATCTTGTAAATACATAGTTTCACATATCTTATCGATTGATTTTTATCCACATTAATTATTAATTGATATATCCGTATTGGATATTAGATTAATTTGCATAACTTTTTCTTATAGAACATTTTTTACTATATACCAAACTCGCATTTTAGCAGAATAAACTGTGTGTTTAATAAAATTCTATATTTATACAGAATAATGTTTGTGAGTTGCACGGTTCATCAATACCAGATAGCATTATCCACATTCATAATAAAGGCGGATATGGATGGAACGAATAGCAAGCCATTCGTTATTTCAGACGTAGGATATTCTGCTGAGATAACCGTTGATCACGGAACAGATCGAGTATATTGGGTTGATACGAAATTATTTAAGATCGAGTCTATACGTTTAGACGGCACCGATCGAAGAGTCAGTGTCTTTGTCTCTCAAGTAACTTATAAGTTACTTCCAAACGCGAGTAAAGTTTTGAACAAAATTTTCTCACAATGTGTAATTGTCAACAGGTGTTGAAAGAAAACTTGTTGGCGGGTCCAGTTTCCATAAGTGTTTTCGAAAATTACGTATACTGGAGTAGTAACTTAACTCAAGACATAGAATATTGTAATAAGTTTAACGGGAAAGACTGGAAGACGTTATATCGCGCAAACGATCTACCTCGTAACCTTTATATTTCTCATTTAGCTGCAAAACCTAAGGTAGGCGGCATACTTGCTTTTTTCTTTTATTACAAAAATTATCGTTTGCGTTCTTTAATTTCAGATACAAAATCCATGTGAGCAACATCCGTGTCCCGAGTTGTGTCTGTTGAATTCGAATAAGAACTACACATGCGATTGTACTTCTCAGAAAAAATTTGTCGGCAACATGTGTTTAGGTAAATTATATTTAAATCAATCCATAACAAATCATGAAGAAATTTGTCACTTTATTAGGCACATATTAGTTACATATTATTGAAATATATATATATATATATATATATTACACGACGTCACTTTCGAGAAATCGTTATTCTCAGATAAAATATCATTTCAGAATCGACGGAAGTGGAAAATGTGATTGCCATCTGTGAGGAACACTTCGTACATTATTATAACGGAATGATAGGAGAAGAAAACATAATTTCTATGGATGACTTTGCGCTGATCAAGGAAGCAACTTGCGACCCACTAACTGGTAATGACAGAATCGTTATTTTACAAAAGCCACTTGTAACGTTTTGTTCAACTTCCATGTTTTAATTTCTTTTTGCGCAATTGAAATTTACACAGGTAACATAATTGCGTTCGACAATTCTTTCTTGAAAATCATTTGTTACAATCCTCATACTGGCAATATTACTGATTTATTGCCGTTCAAGGGCTTAATACAAGGAATGACAGTTGATCATATCGGTAATAATTTAATAATATCTCACGAAGAAAAGCGCACTATTGAGGTGATCAGCATGACAACTTGGAAGAAAACGGTCTTTTACTTTAAGGATATTCCCAAGTCTGTTGCGGTAGTGCCTGAACTAGGGTAATAGGCGTATTTTTTAATATCATTTATAATTGTCAGAGTTTCGTCAAGAGACAACCAAGTTGTTAACGTACAATCTATGTAAATACATTAATGTGTAATATTTTTTTTTTGTAGCTGGATGTTCGTGGTTTTCACGATGCGGAACGACGGTTCCTATAATAGTTCTTATATAGAAAGAGTGCGTATAAACAATATCTACATGAGAACGAGATTTATATCCGGAGGTTTCGTGGGTGACCATCGGATATCATTGTTCTACGACAGATACACAAGTAGACTTTTTGTGGGCGACTATTTGTTCGGTCGTATCTCATCGTACAGCGTTAAAGGTTCGCACTTTAGCTCTCGCAAACTTTAAGTTTTTCATTTTTGTCAACTGATCTCGATACATCGGCGAAGTAATGAAAATTACATCGCACTTTGTGAACAAAAATATATATATATTTGCAAACGTACTTACTTACATAAATAAGGAGTGTGCCTGAATATTGTAAACATACCAAGCATTTTGGAAACTTTTAGAAATCATCCATAGCAACATAGGAAATTATTATTATGTTGGACCTGAGAGATTGATAAGCATTGCTGTCACCAAAGATAAAGTTTACTGGACCGAAAAGAATGCAAATGAGTTATACTGGACATGGAAAAGTAACGTAATAACATCGTCGCATTCTATTCTTAAGAATGTCGCGCTTAGTGAGTTTGATATTATCACAACAGAATCATATCTGCAGATGAGAATACAACAGGGGAAATAAAAAAAAAACGACTCAGCAAAATAAATTATTTTCAGTATTACCTGTAAGACGGTTATTACCGCTCGTGACTGTTCAGTTCCAAATTCAAGATATCTCCAAAATCGGTTGTCGCGACAATAATGGTAATTGTTCACACGTGTGCTTGCCTACTTCAATTAGCACATATGTAAGTATGCAAATGATGACGCGATAATAACGCGTCGTAAGCATCTTCTGCACGACGCATCTACTCGTCTAATGCATTTATTTTTTCTTTTTTTTTTTTTTTGTAATTGCTGTCAGATTTGCGCTTGTCCACCTGGAATGATGCTAAGCGCAAACAACCATACGTGTGAGATACTATCCATATGTCGGGATGGTGAAGTTAAATGCATCGAGCACAATATTTGCATAAAGCACGAACAATGGTGTGTTTCAACAGCATTCATTTTTTTGTCTATACATTTGATTTACTCCATCGATGAGTAAAACTAGTGCATTCTGTACTATTAATTATTACACATTCACCAACAATATTGATACATTTGCGAATTTATTAAAATCTACAATTAAATCTTGTATCTATTCTCTTTCTTCGTATTATTAAAACTGAGGAAAATTTGTTTCTAATAATATGATTTATCGTGTGTGATATATGACATTTGCGGGATCGTGGATTTTGTTTGCAGGTGCAACGGCGTCCCGGATTGTCCGAGTAATGAAGACGAGGCGCACAATTGCGAGCAAAGCGACAACACTTGCGCGCACGGTCAGTTTAAGTGCAAGAACGGCGAATGCGTAAGCTTGAAGAGTCGTTGCAACTCCCAATTTGATTGTCATGATAAGTCGGATGAAGAGGACTGTGTCTTTCCAAAGAAGTGCCGGCATAGTAATTGAATATCAGTGAACAAATACAATTGTTTTTTCCTTTTTGTTTTTCGAAAAATCGAAGATATAACGTCACGTACTTTAATTTTCAGACCAATTTCGATGCATGGACGACAGCAAGTGCATACCTGAAATATTCGTATGCAACGGCCGGGAAGACTGTGACGATGTCTCCGATGAGGCAGGTTGTGGTGATAAAACTTGTTCTACGGACGAGTTTAGATGTAAATCCGGACAGTGTATTCGAAAAGTATGGGAATGCGACAGCGAGGTGAGTGATTGCGCGCTGTGAAATTATACTTAAACTTACGAACACGTAATATTTTGCTCTTGCATCACAAAAAAATTAATTTTTTTTATTTCTCGTCTTGCAAGTGCTATTCTAACAAACGCAAAACACAAATATGTTTTAAAAAACTGAATTCTCAACGTTTAGAATGAATTTTCTTTACTCGCGGTAACAAATACTACGTGTCGCGTCCTATGTAATCTTGTATAATTTTAGGCGGATTGCCAGGACGAATCAGACGAACATGATGATTGCACCTCTCCGACAAAATGCGCGGAAAAGAAAATGTTCTTCTGCGCCAACGGTCATTGCATATCCCAATTAATGAGGTGTAACGACATGGACGATTGCGGCGATAACACCGACGAAATGTTTTGTACTAACCAGACGTATACTCGTCACACCGATAACGAGTGCTACCTCGATGAATATCAGTGCAACAACACCAATATATGTATATCACGAGTTGTATTGTAAGAATAGACTTTTGTTTTTCATACATATGTATACAGAACACCCAAGTTAACAAACTTATATAAAGAGAGAAAGAGACTGATTTATCAACTGATAAAAAAAATATTATATAACATATTATTGTATATATGTAATATTGTATATATATTTATATGATATACAATATATAATAATTTATATAAAATATAAAATATAATAGCCTCGTATAAACAGTGCAGTTTGTTTTCTGCTTTTTTTTTGCAGATGCGATGGCGTTAGAAACTGTCCGCAAGGCGATGACGAAAACAGTTGCACGAAGTGCTACGCAGATGAATTCACCTGTCGCAACGGAGAGTGCATTGAGAAAGAGTTCGCATGCGACGGCGAAGCCGATTGCATGGATGGATCGGATGAAGAGAACTGCTTCGGCAATGGCGGTAACGTAACATCCGAATGTGAAGAATACGCGTGTTCTGACGGCGTTTGTATACAGTTCGTACAAGTGTGCGACAATCTGGCGCACTGCCACGACGGTAGTGATGAAAACGGAGGATGCGGTACGTATAGCGATAAAAAAAGTGGTTTTGTTTTACGTTTCACGTTATTAAAGCTATTTCTTTCAAAAATAAAAGAAACACGGAGAGAATTCTAAAAAATCAAGCTTTTGATTTTAGAATTCTCTTCGTGTTTCTTTATTGCTATATCTTCGCATATCGAAAGAAGACGCGCAGAATGTTTTCGCGGGATGCATTTGTACCTATGTTTCTTTTGACAGCAAACGCCTGCACGTTGCTCGGCAATGTTACCTGCGAACACACATGTTACAAAGCGCCGAACGGCGGGATTTGCCGTTGTAACAAAGGATACTACTTAGCTAACGACAAAATGTCCTGCACAGACATAAACGAGTGCGATCACAACGTTTGTCAGCAGACTTGCCACAACACTGTAGGCTCCTATGATTGCTCGTGCTATGATGGTTACACCCTTCGTCCTGACAATCTTGGTTGCAGAGCTCTCGGTAAATGATCTTAATGTTAATAAAAAAATCTTTGTACGGAAATACATATTTATAAAGCAACGAAATATTCATTTAGGATCGCCAATGAAATATATCTTCGCCACTTCTACCGGTATCAAGAAGCTGTCGATAAGTTTCGCCTTCGTTGACATGCTCCACGAGGACACGACTGTGTCACGAGTCGACGTGAACGATATCACCGGCAATATTTACTGGACTAGCGGTTAGTCTGCACCCACATCTTACATGTCAATCTAAAATATAGCGTTTATTGAAACGTCACAGAGATCGTCTAGAAATAATTTAAAAACAAAGATTTATACATATAGAAACGTGTCTTTCATAAACCTCGAATCGACTGTTGAATAAATATTAAAAACAAATAATAATAATAATTACAGACTATTATAATACTATCAACAAACTCGACGTTACAACTAAAACCATCTTTACCATTGAGGATTTTTATCCAATATCGCTCGCGGTCGATTCAATTTCTGACAATGTCTACGTCAGTAACGGAAATAATATTAAGGTACATTTTTGAATATTTAATGTGTACAAATTTATTGTTATATCGATTATCTCACGTCATTTAAATGCCGCTGTCCGTCCTCAAAAGAGTCTAACCAAACGTGAAAAGTCGTCGAGCAAATTCAAAAATCAAAATTTTCTTATTCCTAACATATTGTATGAAGTAATATTAAATCTCGACATAAAAAACAACTGCGATTATTAATTAATTAATTATTATATAATTAAGGTATGCAACATTGAGCAAAAGAAATGTGTGACACTGATAAGAACAAAAAAGGGCGAGAGAATAGTAAAAGTCTTAGTCGACGGGCACAACAGGTATCTCTCTTTTTTTGTTTTTTTACTTTGCTCTTATTTCTACTGAAATCAACATTTGATTGAAAACATTTATAGAAATCTATATTGGATTGCGCACAAAGGCGTGAGTGAAATATTACGATCGGATATGATGGGAAACAATAAAAAGATCATTGTCCAAGACACAGGCATTGCGAATGCGCTAGCGATTGATTTTACAAAATCAAGATTGTACTGGTTGAGAATTTCGCAGAAGATAATTGAATCATCCGATTTGGATGGACATAACCGCAAAACGCTCTTATTTCTTAAGGTATCGTTATTCCAACCGATATTTCACAAGCAAATTCTTAAATGAAAACTAAATATCGTTTGTTTTCTGAGAAAAAATATGTTCTGGGTTTTAGGAACCTATCTTTGAGATGCATATTTTTGAAAACGAGTTGTATTCGTTCTTGAATGGCTACATGACAAGATGCAAATTGTACGGCAACAAAGCGTGTCATCATATTCGCATAGAGGCGACCAAAGACGGAAATGATTTCGTCATCGAACATATTTCTAAACTTCCATATAACTCGGTGATGACGTCTCTTGGTAAGAAATAAAAAAAATATACATCCATATATATTGTAAACGTGCATCCAGTGCAAGTTTATTTTTAAAATCAATATTGAAATGTGCATGCTTGTTCGACAGGTGAGAATCCTTGCAAGAAGCTGAATTGCACTTTTATGTGTGTTGTGAAAACTCACCCCACATGCATTTGCGAAGATGGCACATCGGTAGAAGTCAATGAATCCTGCACAGGTAGCAAAGAAAAGAGAAAGAAGACGGATGACTACAGAGGCATTATTGTCCTATCAATATTAGGCGCAATGCTTGTTACAGGTCTACTTTATTATTGTTATCGAAAAAAATTGTTAAACTGCTGGAGAAGAATTAAAACCGATAATACGTATGTTTTGCATTTTTTTTTTTTTTTAGCTCGCTATATGCGGTAAGAGATTTTTTTTCAAACGATACTATTTACGTGTTATTTATATTTCAGAGTGCTTTCCTTCCGTAATCTATTGTACGATCAAAATACGGACGGTCTGTTCGATTCAGCCGAAACTGTTGCAATTTCAAGTGTATCTTCAAACTCGAGTCTGAAAAACTGTACAGACAAATTTTCTAAAAAGCACGAGTATGTAAATCCTCTTACCAGTGAAGTACTACAGCCACGAGTAAGTAATAACATCGTATAAGTGCAACGCACATGAATATAACGTCATTTTTTTTTTTTCAACTGTATCATATGTGTGTTTTGCATTTCTTAAAAAACTTTTAACATGTAGTACAAATTCTATATATAAAGTGACACAATTGTCGCAAATGATCAAAACAATCAACAAAATCAAGTGATTATTTAGATCAATTCATTTAGAACGAATTTTGTTATAAATTATCATAGATTTAAATATGTTCTCTTGTAGCCTAGAAGAAAATGCACAAAAACAGAACGAACAGAATCAATGGACTCGGAAGAGACTGAAGAAATGAGCAAAACTCATATCTTAATTAATATCGAGCAATAATATGATCATAATTTTACTTATGTGCAAGTTTTTGGGCTAACAATTTAGTATAGATAGATAGATAGATAAGCTAAAAGCAGGGGGCTTGTGAGTGCCTTTTGTCACCTAGATCTATAAGATCCTCTGCAACTCCCGCCAGTAGTTTATCGTCCAGGCTGTTTTAGCCCGGCATTTGCTGCCAGGCTACACAGGTGGCCGATATTGTGTATTTTCAGGTCTTCGGGGTCCACGAACATGGAGCCCAGAGATCTGAACCTCTTGAGTACTAGAGACGGGTAGCGACACAGTATGTGCACGCTGTCCTCCCTTTCCTCACCGCAAAATCTACACCTACTCTCCTTGACTAGGCCTAAATTGAATAAATGTGCCCTGAAGGCCCAGTGCCCTGTGAGAAGACCGATACACAATCTTTGTTTGTACCCATAGTCAGTAGTTCCTTTGTCCTACCTGGCAATGGCTGTGTCATCAGGACCTTGGCCTGGCGGCAGCTCTTCAGTTTCACCCAAGCAGTCCTGTGCTCCCGTTTCAGCCAGTCCTTGATGTGGTTTTTCCCTATTGCAAAAGGGACTCCAACTCTCTGACAGGCTGGTTCCTCTAAGGTACCCAGTTTTGCCAGACTGTCAGCCATCTCGTTGCCTTGAATACCTTGGTGGCCAGGTACCCAGACTAGCGTGATGCTGTTTCGCTCACCCAAACTATTTAGAGCTTGCATACAATCCCAGACCACTGAGGATTCAGTGGTGGTCTTAGCAAGAGCTCCTATGGCTGCTTTACTATCTGAATAGATATTGATCCTCCTCTTTTTTGTTTCTTTTGATAGTAGGAGTCTTGCACATTCCAAACAATTTAGTATACGTTTAATCATTTTTTCTCTAGATAAATATTTGCGACATCCGAGTTATATTCATACAATCGCTCGATATTCAGAGATCAGTATGAGGCACAGTGGCAGAATCTGTTATTATTTTTACGTATTGTTCGAAGACTCTAACTCGAACTAATTTTTGACCAGATATCGTTTTGAAGTTACCAGTTTTGAATGCCTTTATTTATTCTCTCGCGCGAAACAAACCAATTTGCGCAAATCACAATATTTTTTGCCTATTTCTCTCTTGAATCTGACAACTGTAACGATAAGCACTGATAGATACGTATTAAACAAAAAATTTTACGAATCTTTAAATCCGTAAGATTTGACAAAATCAAAATGTGAACACTTTTGATACACAGAATGTTATATGACATCTATTAAATACTTTCGTAACACTGTTATGTAAAATTATTGTGTCTAAAGATCGAGTCGTGATCTTGAATTATTTGGTCGCATGCACGACGTGCTTAATTATGTTCGATTTAGAGATTAAATTTTACCAATATATCTGTGATCCGCGACAGGATTTAGTTTCCAATAATTGTTCTCCTACATACAAGATTCAGTAATTGATACACATGGGAGGCGACTGATTTTTTTGAAAAAATATAAATAAAACACGTAGGATAAAATTTTTTCGAGATTTGTCTCAAGATTTAGTTCTTGAGAAACTCAATTTTGAAAAGTAAAAAACTTATACACATCATATGTATTTCGATAGCAGTTATTTTAATCACTTTAAAGCAATACATATTCCTGTATTTAATAGAACAAGTTAAAATTATAAAGTTATTAATATCTACAATAAAATGATTAATAAAACATATAATAAAATAATATATTAATAAACTAATATAATTACTATACAAATTTTAATTAACAATTTTACAGTTATGTACACAGCGCGTCACTGAATAGCGGAATAGGCGCGGGGATCGGAGGGCAAGCGGGGCGTACAATTCGTACGGCGCTTGTTGGTGAGCAACCGCTCCGCTTGCCCTCCGATCCCACGCCTATTCCGCGATTCAATGACGCGCTGTGTACATACAATATAAATTTTAAAATCTTTTATTAAATAGTTTATTTTACTTTTTTAATTGCTATACTAATTGTTATCGAAATACGTGTAATAATAGAAAGATTATTAAAAGTCTATTAAATGTTACAACAAATAAACGCAATATTAAATGTCAGCAATTATTTTGAAGACTACGTTTTGATTCATGTCATTTCAAAAGGAATCAGTCCTTTCCCGATTGTACTACGATTACTAAGCCGTTCTGTATAGTTTACGAGTATTCAAAATTAATTTAAAATAAAAATACATATATTTCAAATTTTACACGTGCTTTTGGTATGTTTGCTGTAAGCATCAGTTTATCTTTGTTCTATATTTAAAGAGTAAGACGAACTGACATTTAAAGCGCGTAAACATTCAAACGCACTCTCCATCATACGCTTCGGTAAATTTTCTAGTTTATTTGTTTATGCTTAATAAATCTGCGAGAAAATATACTGATTAAATAAATAGTTAAAAACTATAAATTTACTCTCTATAGCACACGCTTTACTGTGTCAGATTTTTCCAAGTTTTCCAGCAAGAAAATAGCAGCGTTGCAAAAACAAAATAATTCGGGATTTTTTGACTTGATTTTTAATTAAGAAATACTATTTTGCTTTGAATATGTGCTTATTATAAAACAAATAAAATATATTATATATGTATATAGGTTTAAATATGTGCAATATTTGCTATATATAAAAATATATTTATTCTCGCAGTTAATTATTTGTACATATATTGTTTTAAATTTGTATAGCGCTGTGTGTGCAGTTAAAATATTTATATTGTACATATTTATTCTTGTCAACACACGTGTTAGTTCTCTCATATATATTAGTATGTTGCGAAAAAAATTAGTGTTATTTTTAATATAAATATAATTGTATCTAAAATTATTGTATACAATAAGTTATTTTATCTTCTATAAAAAAAGAGAACAACAATTTACGATTACGATAAAAATCATTCTTTTCCAAAAAAATAAAGTTATAAAAAATATGAAAATTAACAATAAACAATGGTGTGAACAGAATATTTCACGAACGCGCACACATTCGTTCAAATTATTTTTTTTCCCATTTGTGTATACTATTTTATTTATTGTTCTCTATATATTAAACTTTGTATTTCTTAGCTAATTAGATAAGGACTATCAAGAGCACCGATACCTGCTACTATTCCGCCTTCATCTTCGCTCGATAATTTGGTTCTTAAAACATGTCCGACTTGATCATTGGAAATTATCTCCTTGCTAGTCCTAATAAACAAGAACACATGACGCGATAATATATCAATGTTCAGATAATGTTATCTATTTTCTTTGTCAGTGCAAAAAAGATATAATCGCCAAGTGCAAGTCATCTCGTCTACATGCTCACCCCACTATCACTCCATATACGCCAAGTTCTGTTATAACATCCGACAGATCGAGAGTATTTTTTAATTCTGGTTCTTCAGCAGCACGTATCAGATAATTTTTTTGCAGAGGGGGATAAATGCGATCCATAAGAATCCACGCTGTTCTTTCCTTTAAGTCCTTCATCGAGTTTAACCACTTGCTTATACCCTCGTTATATATATTATTCCCGCCTCCTTCTCTTTGCGGCTTTAAAACGTATCTTTTTGGTTCCTTTGTACCCATTTCCACTGTCTTTTCCCCATCGTTATTCTGTTAGTGAAACACAAAGTGAATCAGTTACAGAACAAAAGTTAAGAGTCAAAAGTTAAATGCTATAATCTAAGTAACGAATAAGCAAACAACTCTTACAAAGTCTAATGTGTATAATCCAGTAAATATTTCTTGTACTTTAGCAACAGAGACCTCGTCTTTTAGAAATCTTCGCAGTACATTAGACTGAGCCAAAGACTGCTGTACCTATAAAATAAAATAAACTTTAACATCAAGATATATTTTAAATCCGTTTCAAAATTAAGTATGTGTGGTTATAGTTTATTACATTAAATAGTCATTATACGCAATAATTGAAGTTTAAAATACATACTTTTTTAGTACCTGCTAAATGATATTGTACTGATGGACATTTTATTGCTCGGGAAGTTTCTATTAACAATCTAACATCCCATTCTTTTTGTGTAGGATAAGCTTCCAGTTCATAACCAGAGCGATAATAAACTACAGCCACTACCATATTTGCACTAAAATGATTAGAGTGGTTGGTATTTTACTGTGTTTAGATATTTATATCGTGTGTATATCAATATATTCATTAAGATTTTTAAAACTCTTATTTTTTATACGAAATAAAAAACTTGCAATCGCTGAACTTACACAATTAATTCCTTATTTGAACCCAGTCGTATTTCTTCTGACGCCAAACTCGTTAAACTTCTCCTAATAATTCTAATATTTGGATGTAATTGCCGAATTTGAAATTCAAGTAATCTTTGATCAGATATATTGTAAGTCACATCTTCAACAATGAACATTATAACAGCCCTGAAACAAAAATTGTATTTATCAACATTATTATACATATCCTTGGTAAAAAATGTACAATAAAATCTATTACATTATTTAACTTACTCTGTATCCTCATATAGTTTCCATGCAAGTGCCAATCCGTTGCAAAATCCATCAAGTGGATTGTTATCTGGAATCTTAGATATATCGAATACAGCATATGATTGGTGAAATAAGACAATTCAATTATATTTCTTGAAGATCTATAACAAATAATTAACTCACGTGTTCTAGAGCTTCCTTCATGTATCCTAATTCTCCTAATATATATCTAAAATGTAAGTTTACTGATAAGATATATAAACTACATAACATGTTACAGAAAGAGATAATCTGACTTTTTATTATCAAAGAACCCACTTATGATATTGGGATATAGTACCAGCCAAGGTGGCAAAGCTAGTTGCCACTGTGTTTATTTCAACTTGTTTTATTTTGCAGCCATCGTGTAATAAATAATCTGATCTTAATAATCCAAGACTTATGCTCTGTATAATACAAATTTCTGATGAATATTTTATATTTTTATTGTAATGTTCAATCTTGCCACCAAAACTGCTGTGCAAGTTGTTACTATTTTAATGCCTATTCTTAAATGTTCAACACAAACCTGACTGAAACCTTGTTTGCAGACATTCTCGTATATGTGAAACAATTTGGCTGTAAACGGGTCAACTTCTACTGTGCTAAGTAAATATACCATGTTAGTAAGTTGAAGAGATAACACACGCATACGTATTGACTGCAGTAATAATACCTTCTTAAAGTATCTCTAAGAAATTCTTCATCGTGAGCAACCTTGTGAATAAGTGTGTTCAGTAAAGTCTGTACATTTTTTACAGTTAAAAAGGGCTTCTCCGGAAAAGTTGACGGCAACAGAGTAAAAGGTAGCACTCGAACATGGTCCTTGCTAAAATTCTTTCTGGATCGCATTGATATTCCTAAATGACGTAAAACACATGTTGTACATATTTTTTGCGTTATCAATTTCTGCAAAGATTCCGCGCGTGTCAGATTTAAATATCCTTATGTCCTTGGGATATTTAAATCTATGATACACAGTAGAGTCACCTGTTAGAGTTGTTTCTTCATTAGTCGCACGTTGGAAAGTCTCGAGGAATTGATCAATCACGTTGATCGGTTGACTGATTTGACCACATTGTGATTAGTCAATTCTACGAGAAGTTTGCGTTTATGACTTGCGACTAATGAAGAGAACAATTCTTACGCACGTATGTACATCACGTGCTCGATTACCGTAGACGTAACTCTTGTGATGATTAGTACATTTTATATCAGAATGAAATGTTACCGTGCATAAGCGCCCAGTCTTTTGCTTTATCCACACTTTCTCTCAACACTTCGTCCGAAAGAGGAAGCTTGATACAAGCGTTTAATCGAGAATAACTCATGATCGCGCGAATCGAATGAAAATTATTACACGACGTGACACTCTCTCGACCACGTCCGCGAATGCGAACAATGTTCAAACTTCATCGAAAGCGGAGAGAGTGCTCCTGTCTTCGAGCGCCGCGATGTTCACGCTCATGAACTACATAAAGAAATTCCGTAAAGAAAAAAAACTTTATTTGGTTCCGTTCCGTGCTACATGCACATGTGCATCATTTCGAGAATCGCAAAGCAGAGATCGCTATAATGAACGATTGATATATTTATAACAAATTGTTTCCCAGAAGAATAACTTTTGAAATTAATATTGTTTAACTTTTTTGAACAAAGAATATATTGTTTACTTCTTGACGAAAAAAAAATATATTTTATTATTCTAAAGAATAATATTTTGATCATATTTCATTAAAACGACAATGCAAAACAGTATTGATTTTCTCCCACAGTGATAAGATATCTGTAGCTTTTTTGTGTGAAAATTATGTTTTTTTATACATCTGGTTTCCTAACAATTCTATAATTGGAAGTTCAAGAGTTTATCGCGCGCTCAAACACAATCTTATAAATTTTGAAGTCATAAATTTTTAATTTCTTGTTTTTTTTTTTTTTTTATATTTGCAGAAGAGAGACGAACTCTTTTCTGTTAATTATGTCGTATGTAATTGTAATGCACGCATAATGTGTAAATGACTGACGGACTTTTCGACATAATTGTTACGTATTCGCAATCTGCCGCTCGTGTCGGTCGTTGTCGTGATGCTTCGAACTCGGCGCTATAGACGTGTATCGATTACAAATGGAGAACTGCTAATTTAATATCGGGATCGAACGCGGAGCTGTTATAGTTCCGTGTTGTATCCGCATGTTGTGTTTCAGTAATGTCGAGAAGAGACCGTCGACCGCACGTACGTATATTTCTTCCTTGCGCGTGATTGTTTGTTTTCAAAAAACAACATGTGGAGCCACGTATTGATTTCGATCGTCGTTCTACTGACGTCCTTGCTTTATCATTATCACTTCAGCGAGCCGGCCAGTATTATCGATCGTCCCGAAACGCATTACGACTACATAATAGGTGAGTTTTTATTCTCTTTTTCTGTTTCTTCTGTTGTGAATATGAATATATTCAATCGCACGCAATTTCAATGCTCTTCCTCGTTCTCTCATACAAGTTACGTTACCATCGATTTTTCATCAGAGAGGATTTGCGCGCGTCTCAGCAATGACAAATTACATTGCATCAGATTGACAGACACAGGCTATATATTTTTTCTCCAAATAAATAGAAGACATTACGAATGTTTCGAAAAATATTGTATTTAAATTGTTACGATTTGGCCGATATACCTTTAAATATGAAAATGACAAATGTTCTTATACAAGCACAAGAAGTAAATAAAGAGAAGTATTTCTCTCTAAGTGCGATTGTCAACAATCGAACAATAAAAATTCAACTTCTTTCGTGTCGTTGCGAAATTTAAGTTGGCGCTGGTACATCTGGCTGCGTGATCGCGTCGCGGCTTTCAGAAATATCGAACGTCACCGTTCTGCTGGTGGAAGCGGGTGGACACTTCGGATGGCTGTCTACCATGCCGCTCTTGGCACCGATGATGCAAGGCACCGATGTCGATTGGGCTTATAAAACGGAGTCGCAACTCTTCTCGTCCCGAGGACATCGCCGCTACGTAATATATTGCTTTATCTCTCGACAATACATTTTATCTTTTGCAATTATCTTTTGTTTACTTTTGTTGTACGCCGCGTGTACAACATTACACAAGAAACAGAGTTATGATAAATGATATTTGTATCGAGATTGATAAAAATTGCACACGCCTCTCATAAATTATTTTAATATAAAAGAAATGTGTGTTTTGTGTGTGTGTGTGTGTGTGAAACTTTGCGTGAATTTTTCGTCACGCAACAATCGCGTTTGTCAATCGTGTTTTTTTCAGAAGCAAAATTGGCCCAGAGGAAAAGGATTAGGCGGAAGTGGACAGCTCAATTATCTCGTTCACTCCTTCGGAAAGTCCGAGGACTACAAGGGATGGCCGAAAGGCTGGTCGCATGCTGACTTGCTCCCCTACTTTCAAAGAGTGTCCGATAGCATGAACGTTATCCCGATGCCGGAAGAAGAATATCTGACGAAGGCCTTCGTTCTGGCCGAGGAATCCTTGAAATTGGATAACGTGTCCCTGCGAAAAGCGATGTACACCGCGAAAAAAGGTTCCAGATGGAGCACGCATCACGCTTATCTGCAGAAGGCTTGGAATCGCGAGAACTTGCACATCCTGACGAACACGCTCGTCGCCAAAGTAAAGTAGTCCGCACTTTTGTAACTTTAATTGTTAATATTTTACTTTAATATTTATTTATATAGCTCTTGATAATTAATTTAAATTTAAAAAATTTTAATTTTAATTTGTTTTCAAAAGCAAATCTTATTTATCTATTTCCTAAATGCATATTATTGACAAATATAAATCTTTATCTTTTTCGGAATGTGTGGGTTATAGATACTCTTCGAGAACAAAAACATTGACGGCGTCAGAGTCATATATAAAAACGGCTCTGTTGGGAAAATTCGCGTGAGGAAAGAGATGATTCTTTGCGCGGGAACTGTCAACACGCCGCAGTTACTTATGATTTCCGGTATAGGACCTGTCAGCGAACTGGAAAAACATAAGGTAATAAATACGAGAATATCAAATATCACACACGTGAATTTTGTGCGAAACAATACATTCGATTGTTTCCAGATAGCCGCGGTGCATGATCTTCCGGGTGTAGGTAGGAATTTATTCGATCATCTGAACGTGCCCATTTACGTGAATCTGAGAGAGCGTGTCAGTATCACGCTCGTGAAACTGCAAACCTTGCTCGAGGTGTTCAATTATTTCGTCTTCGGAACCGGTAAATGGAAATAGCACGACGATCGCGGTCGCACGTTTTGTTTTTTTGTTCTGTTCACGACGTTCTATCACGACGCGCGATCGACGTTGTAATCTCGTCGTATGCCTCTTTCTCCATTGCATGTCGAAGGATGGTTGGCCACTAACGGCGTAATGGGATTGGGGCGTGCCAATAACAGCGGCATCCTTTTGTTCGGGGTGGCGTCCGCGGAGGAAAAGTTGCTGAAGGTCATTGCGAATTTCGAGACCGAGGTAGGGTATTATAGCGAATTACGTATGGATTATTTAGATAGTGGTATTTAGATTTTTTTCGGAGAAATTGTTTTCAACCGTAAGTCGTATATTAAACTTACGAAAATTTTTTGTAATCTCAATTACAATATTCTACGATCTCCTATGTATACTTGTAACAATTGTTAATTATAAAAATGTAATTTTGACGCTATGTCAATATTAAAACTCGAGAATATACTTACTCTTAGACGTACAGATCGCTATTTCCATCGTACAACGACAGCATGCACGAGGGATTCGTTTATCTGGTGTCGTGTCTGCAACCCAAAAGTCGCGGAAACGTAACGCTGAGATCGGTCAACATCCGCGACCCGCCGAAAATTAATCCCGCATATCTTCAGAATCCCGAAGACGTAATGTGCACCCAACAAGGTAAATGTGCTTTGTCCTCGTAAAAAACAAAAACAAATAATTCTTCTAATTTTATTGTTTTTGTTTTTTACGAGAAAGTACTTAAGATAATAATAATAATAATAACAATCACAATTACAAGGCATAAACCTCGCGCTGGAGACTCTCAATACGAAGCTCTTTCGCGAGTACGGCGCGAAGGTACACGTTCCCGATCTCGAGGAGTGTCGTCACTTGCAACAGGACTATCGAGACCCAGATTATTCGGAATGCGTCATAAGAATCGCAGGATTCACGGGTTACCATCCTTGCGGCACATGCAGAATCGGCACGGACGTCAATGCAGTTGTTGACGAGGAATTGAAGTAAAAAGAAAACAAAGCATTTTAGTTTCTCTTTTGTCTCCGTTCTTTTTTCATAATTAGAGTACTTTAGGAAAATAAGGTCAAACAAAAGGAAAGATGATAATAAAAAAACATACTTTCGCTTTCTCTAGGGTAAAGGGCGTTAGGGGATTAAGGATAATGGACGCCAGCGTAATGCCGTCTCCAATTTCCGGCACGCCAAACTCAGTCCTTGTCGCAATGGCCGAGCGCGTGTCAGATTTAATTCTGGATCGAACGTCAAACTGAGATCAAGTTCATTTATCATAGAAATTATGTGCGATTTGCTAGAAAAATTAATAATAACAATTCATTTGTATGATATTATTTACGATATCACTTTGTGCTAATTCATCATTTGAATGAGAAAAGAGGGCGAAAGGAAGAAGGATCGCAAATAAAAACTATCCATGGTGCTCCAAGTTTTTTGTAATTTATAATTAATGGTAAAGTTTTCTTTTGTTTTACAGTAATCGAACAGTTATTAATAGTCTAATTAAATTTCGATTAATTTTTATACAAACAAAAAGGGGTGAGTTACACACTCAACGGCATAGCCACGAATCCCTGCCACCCCGTCCGCGCTCGGAGTATAAAGAAAAAAGAAACATATTTTTTTTTTTTTTTTTTTTTTTTACACGCTCCCTCCTTAAAGAGGTTTTCTTTCACCCCAGTTCCCGTCCGGGATCGTCTACGATGGCAGAGTTTCGACATTCCTCCTATCCCATTTCCGCGTCTTAGCTTCTTTCTCTCACAAACATACACACATACATAAACACATATAAACACACACAAACACACACACGCACACACTCTCTCTTTCTCTCTTTCTTTCTCTCCCCCCCTCTTTCTTGCTCTTTCGCGTACATCCTCAACAAACATACACACATACATTCCGTCATTTCTCGTATTAACGCTGATTTTATTTCTCTTCATATCGATTTCGTGTTTGTCTCTCATCGCATCGATCGATTTTCTCTTTCCTCGCAACTTTTGTTCGTAGACACTCTCACACACACTCTCACACGCACACGTACATATATCTGTCGCATCTTATAAATAAAATATTTCGTGATTAACGCAAAATGTTGTTTCTTATTTTTCGAAAAAAAAAAAAAAAAAAAAAAAATAAAATTAATATGGAAAAATTCAATAACGTACCGTGTACTAAAAACAAATCTTATGCGGCGTCTCGCATCTATTTCTCG